CTATGGGCTGATAGTGTGTCTCCACGGATGAACACTATCGCGTCACGTGATCAATTTAAACCAATAAGAATCGGAGAAAATTTAGTGGCGAACTATAAGAGGTGATAGTTGATGAGGACGAAGGCCGAATCAACTCATAATCTAATTGTTAATTAGAGCGGTTTTCACTTGAGTGTCGCTTTTGAGTGTCGAAAGTAATTGGTTTCGCATCAACTACGCTACACGATTGGCTTAAAAAATTCGCGCCACTTTTTCATCCAATCAGCATTAAAACCAAGACCAATCATGACTCGCTCGCACGCGTTTTCCCGCGCTTTGCATAAGTTACATGTATTCTAATTACTTCGTGATTTGATTTGATTGGTTCACTCCATTGTCTGTACCCTTTGTGATTGGCAAGAGTGATTACTTTAGTTTTGGTTTTACGTCACTCGATTTGAATCTGCTCAATACAAAAACAGTAATAATGATGCATACTTAACATTTTGATCTTTCTTTTTCCTAATTCGTACTGAACAGACATTTCTGAAGCCCATCATTTTGTGGTGACACTGATGTCTTCACCAAGTGACGATGATATGAGTGCTGAGCCCTTGTTTGTGACAATCACGGATGACTTGATAATAGAGAAGAACTTTACTGGAAAGGTAGGAGATGAGAATACACAACCAATCTACAGAAAACAAAGGTTGATCAATGTACTCTTCTAAGCAGAGGTACCTGAATTGTATTGGGCGGATTTGCAAAACCTTGTTTCTTGGCAACGTCAAAGCGCTAGAAAGACTACCCTCGGTGACGGAGGTTTTATTTTCTTGCGAGGAGCGTTGAATCCGCTAAAGCGTGATACGCAGCGAGCGGAGATGGGAAAGCTACTTATAGGGAGCTTAAGTAAACTAAGACGGCAACGGAACCAGTACGGGAACGTCGGTAAACAAAAGGTTTAATGAGCAGAACAATGGCTGTGCACGTGCGTTATAATTCTTGGTACATTTCTTTGCCGTCCTCTAAAAAACAACAACGTGAAATGACCAAATTCTGCGTTGCATGGAGAAAGTGAACCACGACGGATAATTTTTGAAATTTACATTTCTAATTTTACGCTGTGTAAAGTTATCCAGTTTCGAGATAGCTTTGACAAAGAGAAACAAAGTAAATGGCTTTAGAGTATCGCGAGATTCGTGGGTAAAATATAAGTTCATTTTTTAACCGACATTGCCCTCTGCGTTACTTAAACTCCCTTATTTTGAATGCGACAGACAGAAGGTTGACGTCCTGAGGGCATTTGCCCTCCTCTCTCACAAAAAAAATTTGAAGCAAAGCGTGAGTGATATGTTTTTTTTTCTGTGTGTCTTTCGAACCATTGAATAGACCTTTTTTATGTTTAATTATCATGAATATTAGTTATGAGATATCTGAGTTACCACTGTACAGCGTAAAAGTTCTTCCCCCGCGGCATTGCTATTTTCAGGTAATTTCCCAGCTGGAAACAAGTTGTCTGAGGGATGTTAATACAGGCTGGACTGCTGATAATCACCCTGTTACACATCTGAGGTTTGATTACATCAGCCGGGAGAGACAAAGTCGGGACTATGTCATGGAAGATCATGAAGCTGCTGTGGTAAGTAATGTATCAAACACGAGAGACAGTGTTTCGTCCGGATATCCAAACATCGAGAAGAGAGTTGAAAATACAACGCGCAGCGAGTATTTTTGACGAAATTCGAGTTGTTTGGATAGCCGATGAAACACTGTCTCGAATGTTTGATACATCTTCTCAATCGAAACAAAAACTAAAGAGTAAACGGAGAAGTAAAATCGTCAAAATCGATGCTAATTACATTGTAAGACCGGGTATCTAAACTTCCTTCACGGTTGTGATTTTCTTTGTCTTAACTTGACGAGTTATTAATGAGTTTGAGAAGTTTTCTTCAACAAGCCCAGTCACGGTATTTTGAGTTATTTTTTATACAAAATCACCTTTAAATTGAAAAACACCAAAGAGATAATAGCAAACCATAAAGGAACAAGGATGGTTAAGGATGGAGAAGATTAACACGGATTACAAACGACGAACTTGAAAGATTTAAGCTAAACTTTTCAAGACATGCAAACCGTGACGAAGCTCCAATTATTCAGCGTTGAGTTAAAGTTCATTTTATTTTCACTATAAGGCACATAAATTGCTGAACAAAAATTTAATAGTCAACGTATACTGAATCTTAAAAGGAAGGATGTGGCTAGAGTACAAAAGAAGTGAAGAGGAAAACATGAGCCATAGTCTAGTTGAAATTATACGGTTATGAAATTTTTCAAGGTTCTCTCCTAACCTAACAGGACAAACAGTCATTTAGACTGACTTTTGTTTTGCTCCTGTAGCAACTTGTAGAATGCTTGAAGCCATTTGTGACAGCAAATGAACAAATCCAGGAAGCTGCCATGGAACGTCTGCAGGTGAGCTCGAGAAGAATGTTTGTCGTTTATCGCTGGAGATTAACTTGTTCACTGGACAGTTGAGAAGTCAAGCCTGATAATTGTCCTTTTTTCGTGGAGAAAAAACAAGAACAGCTCAACCATGATATAAGAAGCACTATCAGTGTGCCGAAAATCACGTTACTTTGTTATCACCTGCATGATAGCCGGTTCTTTACACTGGTTTTATACAGTTCGCTCTCTATTGTAAAAAGCTCCCCAAATTCCGTGCATGCCACATGTTTGTGTGTTATAAATGGGTCACAAACCAGATATACTCATGAACTCATACTCATACTCATACTGAAAGCTGAAAATAAGGAGTTTAAGAAAACCACGATGGCAACGGGAATGCAGAACAATGGCTGTGCACGTGCGTTATAATTCCTGGTACATTTCTTTGGCGTACTCTGCAAAACAACAACGTAAAAAGAGTATTTTTGACGAAATTCGAGTTGTTTGGATAGCCGATGAAACACTGTCTCGAATGTTTGATACATCTTCTCAATCGAAACAAAAACTAAAGAGTAAACGGAGAAGTAAAATCGTCAAAATCGATGCTAATTACATTGTAAGACCGGGTATCTAAACTTCCTTCACGGTTGTGATTTTCTTTGTCTTAACTTGACGAGTTATTAATGAGTTTGAGAAGTTTTCTTCAACAAGCCCAGTCACGGTATTTTGAGTTATTTTTTATACAAAATCACCTTTAAATTGAAAAACACCAAAGAGATAATAGCAAACCATAAAGGAACAAGGATGGTTAAGGATGGAGAAGATTAACACAGATTACAAACGACGAACTTGAAAGATTTAAGCTAAACTTTTCAAGACACGCAAACCGTGACGAAGCTCCTATTATTCAGCGTTGAGGTTAAGTTCATTTTATTTTCACTATAAGGCACATAAAATTGCCGAACAAGAATTTAATAGTCAACGAATACTGAAACTTAAAAGCAAGGAAGTGGCTAGGGCACAAAAGAAGTGAAGAGGAAAACATGAGCCATAGTCTAGTTGAAATTATACGGTTATGAAACTTTTCAAGGTTCTCTCTTAAACTAACAGGACTAACAGTCATTTAGACCTGACTTTTGTTTTGCTCCTGCAGCAACTTGTAGAATGCTTGAAGCCATTTGCGACAGCAAATGAACAAATCCAGGAAGTTGCCATGGAACGTCTGCAGGTGAGAATAATGCTTGTCGTTTATCGCTGGAGATTAACTTGTTCACTGGACAGTTGAGAAGCCAAGCCTGATAATTGTCCTTTTTTCGTGGAGAAAAAACAAGAACAGCTCAACCATGATATAAGAAGCACTATCAGTGTGCCGAAAATCACGTTACTTTGTTATCACCTGCATGATAGCCGGTTCTTTACACTGGTTTTATACAGTTCGCTCTCTATTGTAAAAAGCTCCCCAAATTCCGTGCATGCCACATGTTTGTGTGTTATAAATGGGTCACAAACCAGATATACTCATGAACTCATACTCATACTCATACTGAAAGCTGAAAATAAGGAGTTTAAGAAAACCACGATGGCAACGGGAATGCAGAACAATGGCTGTGCACGTGCGTTATAATTCCTGGTACATTTCTTTGGCGTACTCTGCAAAACAACAACGTAAAAAATGACCAAACTCAGCATTGTTCAGAGAACGTGGACCACGATTGCTAATATTTAAATTTCTATTTCAAATTTATCGCTGTGTCCCAGATTCGGTTTCTTGATAGTTTTGACAGTGAGAAATAATGTAAGTGACTTAAGAGTACCGCAAGATTCGTAGGTAAAATATAAGTTCTTTTTTTAGTCCACGTTATTCTCGACATTCCCGTCGTCGGATCCTAAAGTGCCCCTTGTATTGCCCGGGCTCAAACACAGTCCTCTACGTGCCCGTAGCCTTGTTTGCTTGCTTGTTTTGAATTAGCTATT